GTCCTGGTGGAAAAAAAAAACAGTATATGCTGGATAGGTATGTTTTGAAGCATGGCTGCTGGTTTGAGCTGGTTCTTAGCTGGTCATGTGCTGGTCCTAAGCAACTAGATCCTGCTCAGGACCAGCTCATAACCAGCTGACATGCTTCAAAACATACCTAACCAGCATATGCTGTTTTTTTCACTAGTGTAGTCCCATTTAGCCACTTAGCAACTGCCCTTTTTCCAAGCAAAAATGTAAAAATAACAACAACATTACATTACTACTAAATAACATTATGTATTTTATGTCATAGAATAAAATGTACAATATCTTAGGCTTGTGTTTACCACAGACCTTATTTCAGGCATTTAACCCCATTAAGCCCATAAAAAAAAAAAAAAGAAAAAAAAAACTGCAAATACAACTGTGATTTATAAAATGTGATATTTTTTTTAAAGAGCTCCATAATTACTGTGCTTGTTTGTAGGGCTTCACAATTTGGCCAAAAGTTGTATGATTATGTGTCAACACAATATAAATAAATAATATGATAATAATAATTATTATAATTATTAAATTAAATAATAATAATTATTATTAAATAATATAAACATTAAATGATTAAAATAGGCAAAAATATGATATATTACTATTTTACTGCAAAATAAAACATATTTAGTTCAAATTACAATAATTTATTTTACTGCAAAACTGTCAAATTGCAACACTAATATTTATGCCTCAATTTCTTCATTTTTAAACACTGAACAACTGAGGTTTTGCTTTAGAAAAAAAGGTTCTTGCCTTTTGGCAATAGCTTTCTAAACTTCTCATTAAAAAAAAAAGTTGAAATGTTTGGTGAGTGTTGCATTTCAAATGCACGTTATAATCAAAGCAATTGCAGCAATTTCAGAAATGGAGATTGTGTAAAGTAGTAATTCTGAACCGAGACACTAAAAACACTGTTATGATTTGCTTGTGTATAAATGAACACTTCACTCTAAAACACGCACACATATTTATTTAAATAAATTTCAGCCTTTGCAATTTGATTAATAAGCCAAATAGCGATTTGGAGCAAAAATTGTGATTTTTGTTTTGATTAATCGTTCAGCCCTCGTGTACAATAAAACCAGTGATATCATATTAGCAGATTCAGACAGACAAGTGACCAATGGGGATTAGCTGTCTTAGTTTCGTGGGAGACAGACTACTTATGCTGGCACAACATATGGCACAAGTTCAGACACGAGGACAGGTGTGGCACTTACACACCCACATACTAACTCTCTCATACACTTATAAGCCAGCTAACACTTAGAGGTTATAAAACAAAGGGGGTGCAAACATACCACGTCGTTTAATGGAGAATGCACATCTAATGGATTCACTTCCAGGGCCGTTATATAAGGCCTCATTCATTCACACTACCACACCAAACTCCAGGTTTAAATCATGCATTTCTGTTTCAATTAGGTCTATATTCCTGAATGTGTAAACAACATCTAGGTTTGCAACCAGAGACTGACTCAACAGCTTTAAAAGGACAGTCCCATCTGGAGGAGTGTTTTTACGAGGCCTGTCCTATAGAAGCGTAATCCCCCAGTAGCAAGGAGGCACCAGCAAAGGTTTAGGGTTACAGGTCTCTCTACTGTTTTCAAACGCCACTGCCTTCTGCTATAAGCAGGTGGCAACTGACCTTTTTCCATGTCAAGACCTAATTGGGTTAGGCGAGAGATGGCATAGGAAAAACACCTGTTGATACTGCAACTGCTCGGGCTATAAAAGTTTAACGGCAGGAACTGATTGGGAAGTAAACTTTACTGAATTGACAGGCATATATTTTCCCAGTAGGGCTGAAATGATTAGTCGACATTATCGACAATAAAAAATTGTAGACAAATATTTTTGTTAGTTGTTTGATCTCACATGACCTAATGTAAGAGTCTGCAATAACGCGGTTTGACCAGTGTGGCGCCGTAGCGCAAGACTGTAATTCAGCTCTCCTGATGCAATTCAAGAGAAGACAGAGCAAACACAGCCAAACCTGAGGCTGCTGAGCGGCGTTTGGATGAATATGTAAATATATACTGCGCGCTTTCCTCTCAATAACAAATTAAACACATCAAAAACTGACAGCGGTGAGAAAGCAGCAGTTTAAAACGCATCTGATTACAGCGATGTGGATGTTTGCACAAGCTCTGCAGTTCAGTACTCCAGTAAAGTCCAGTCATGTTATGTTTATTTATAAAGTACAATAGATAGCCTTAAACCAAGCAGCTTTACAGCATTATTAAACATGAAAAACCAGAGTCAGTGTTGCTTTCCGTTAGAATTACAACTTGATTTTCTGTTATAAAGCAGCTCTCCAGTGTGGAGCTAGCAAATTATACAATCTTTTTATTAGTGGGGGAAAAAAAACATTTAATTAAAGTTATGGTTTGGTTTGCAGAGATCAAAGCTTTATCTAGCTCAGGACTGTTTTGATTATCATAACCCTATAAGGTATTTTAAGAGAGATTATGTTGTGAATATTAGTTTATCCAAAAATAAAACGTCTTATCACTTAACCTTTATTTTGTTTCTTATCCATATGACTTACAAAAAGAGATTTTAGGCAGAATGATGTGTCATTCAGCTACTTTTTCATATAGCTAATTAAATGGTGAATAAGAGAGTTTATCTGCCATTTCATTTTGTGTGCCAAATATATTTATTTGTATAAATTAATTGTATAACTGTAATTACATAATATGACTTTCAAAAGCTGAAGTGATTACCTTAATTTATTTGTTAGAATATGTATAACTCAATATTTTAACTAATTGCAAAAGCTGAATAATCAATAAATGTCTACTGATTAATCAGCGAAATAATCGACGATTAGTAGATTAATCGTTCTAATAACCGTTAGATTAATCGGTTACCAAAATAATCGCTTGTTGCAGCCCTATTTCCCAGTGATGAAAAGTGATAGTAATATCAATGAGGAACTTATAATACTCCTGTTTCATTATGTTGTAATACATGTTTTATAAAACTACAACAACATTTCTTTGGAGTATTCTTTTTCATATTGAAATAGGGTTGAAATGAAATTCCATAATTCTTCCATGATTCTTTTTCAAGTCACACACACGTTACATATAAAATGCACAAAAATATACACACACACACATATACATACATATACATATATATAACCAATGTATATTAACACACTTAGTAAAAATAACCTAATTATTTGAATAAACCATTTCACTATAAAATATACTATAATAAAATACATTAAATATATTTTCGATATTTATATATATTATAATAAAATATTTTCATATTTCTAAACGTAATGTAACTTGTAACTAGTAATTAAATTGAATTTTATTTAAAACTAAATGAAATCATTATAATATTAATTCATAACAAAATAATATTTCACAAAATAATATTAATAAATAAGTTTAACGTAAACAGAACAAGTAGATAAAACTATATTTAATACATTATAAAAATAACTGGCATTTCAATAGAGTAATTAAATAATTTGCTAAAACGTAATATAATGCAATAATAACAATGATGAACTTATGTTCCTCTATGTTTCATTATGCTGTAATACATGTATTATAAAATTTGAACACTTTTCTTGCCTTGCTCTTTGGCATATTACAAAATAAATCAATCAATCAAAATAACCAAGGAAATTTTACAACGGACCATAACTAGGGGGAAAAAAATCTATTTACTTCAGGTCTGGAAATTCCATAATATTTCCAGGTTTTCCATAAGAGTAGGAAGCTAAATGAAGTTCCGGAATGAACAAAACTTTCCCTGTCAAAAATATACATTAAATAATCACTGTTATAATATTAAAGAACTGTTTAAAAATCTTTTCTGAGAACATTTCTACAGGAAATGTACGAGGGATTATATTTCAATGTGTAGACAGGAAATGCAACTTACGTTTTACATAAGATTTTTAGGTAATACTTTTGCTGAGTCTTACCAGCACACTGTCAAGTCACAGAAGAAAGAAGAAGTCAGCTGCTAACAGATAACCAGGCCTGTGCATTTTAGGAGGATTGAGCAACATGTCGCTTGATTATAGTACAAGATCAACAACTGGCGAGCTCATCCGGGAAAACTCACTCAACCTACAAATCACATGCATGAATACTAACAACTTAAACGATTAACGCTTAAATACATCAACTGAACTTTTTTTATGTCATGCTTTTAAGCAACAGGATTTAGGCAAACATTATGGGTTTGGCTGGTTACCAGCAAGTCTTTGCTAACATTTAAAGATTAAAAGTTGTGGGGCAAAAAAAAAAAAAGTTTATCGTTTTATTTTATGAATTTTTTATTATTAAACCCAGAACCTCAACAGCTACCAAAACACATTACCAACCCCTGCGAAACATTGCTTTCAAATTTTTGGTGTGGCATGGCAACTTTTTTCGCAACAACTAAGTTACGCGCTCGAGATCAAAACTCCGAAGTCGAGCCTGATTTGATATCTTCACTATTGACTATTAGACACGTATTTATGCATTTACAACTCGTTAAAATCGTCCTTACCTTCACAGACAGCAGCTGTGGTCAGACTGCGGGTCTGTTGTGAACATGTTCGGGTTTAATTCGCACCCACTACATGCTCGATGCGCTCGCGCTGCCATCTTGTCCTCTCGCTGGACGACGAGGGAGAAAAAACACAAGCTCCCTCATTTTCAACTGCGCATAACTCGCCTGCTAAGCCATCAACGGGAAACGAACAGGGTCCAGCGTAGAGCTAAGGATATCCGTTTCGATCGAGGGAGGTTTTTGTCGTCATCTCGAGGACGTTTAAGTCCCCCTGGTTTGTTTCCTCCTGACGGCGACGGACAAACTCTCTGTCAGATCAACTTGCTCGAGCTCTCTCAGCTGAGCTCGCACTGCTTCTCCCTGAGAGTTTGAGTGCGGTGAGTCAGAACTGCTGCGCAGCTGTACTGCCGTGAACAGGACTGGAGACTCAGGACGCAGTTCTGTTGTATAGCGGCCCCGTCTGGTGGGGATATGCAGTCCGTAAGAAGGTGTTTTGGACAATGCATAGGTATATAAAAAATAAATGTAAATGTCATAATATAATGTATAAATACTATTAAAAAAAAATGTGCATATGCCAATTAAACATTTTTCTATAAAATATAAAAACATAAATATTTCTACATATAATAAATATTTAGCAATATCTTAAAATGTTGTTTTCCAACTATTTTGATATAACCGAAAATGTTTTTAGTATTAGTACATTTAAATCAAATATTACAATAACTGGTGTATTATATACATATACATATTTATTTTGCTCTCTCCTGTCTATATGTATGTCTGAAAATTTCCAGAATAAACTGTATTTATTTAATACTGATAGTAATAAATCTAATATTACAATAATCATAAAAAAATATAAAATAATATAATGTAATAAACCTACTGATGTATGTCAAATATATAAATGGATGAAACTAGGTATAATATAATGTAATGTAACATAATGCCAAGTGAACTGCATAAGAAGTTGAAAAAAAAAACAGTAAACCCAATCAGTGTTTTCTTCACACCTCTATTAACCATTTTTATCGGGAGCCAGCATTCAGTTTAAAATAACCATTAATACTGCATTGAAAAGACACACTTTAGAAGTCTATGAGTAGAACAGATGTGCAGCTGGTGAATACATTTGCTTGTGAGGTGAAGGTGTCGTCTGTAAAACATGCTGTGTTGACAGAAACATTTTTATTTATTTTTTTTAATCAAGAATTCTGTAAAAGACCGTGCTTGGTGTTCCAGGTGTCCCATGAATGTGGGAACAACATGGGAATAATCTGTAGGTTAAAATGAGCAGTAAAGAGAAAACTGTGCACTTAAATATGGGTGGCACTTCACAAACTAAGGCACCAGTCTAATGCTGTACTGTATATCCTTTTCCTCACACCCAGAAACCTCAATAACACCTTTGCGGAAGGGATCAGGCTACAACAGAAAACGTTTGAAACTACTTACAATGTTGTTGGAAGTGAATCTTTTGTAAAATGCAAGTATTCTTTTTATATTTTGTTGCAAACAATAACAGTATTTGCAAGGCTCTTGACACATCCATAAATATTCCCTGATACAGAATGCAATGAGAGGAGGTCAGGACTGTTAACCCTTAAATATGTTAGTGCTAGCATGTGAGCTTTGAGGGGTTAATTAGCTATTTTACAGACACTTTCATTTGTACATAGCTACAGAATGTGAAAGCCAGGACAACTAGTGGTAAGTAATTCAGGTGTTTTGTTCACACATCTAAACTTTCCCCTTGTTTCAGAATGTCTTGGAGGATCTTGTGGTAGAACGGAGAGTAAACTAGCTTGTTGAAGGTCACCAAACGTCCCAGCTTAACGGCAATCTCCTCTAACTCTTTGCTGATGGGTGTCAGACCTCCAGGGAGAGCCGGGGCGCTCCGGTGGGCGCTTGACTCCAGGAAGCCAAGAAGGTACATCTGGATTCGTGAGTCTGATAGAGAAAGTAGTTTTAGATTGGAGTTCCTCACTTCCAAATAGAATCCAACTGCTTTTTGGGTTCTAAGGCTGCATTTATTTGATCAAACAGTAAAAACCGTAATATTGTAAAATAATATTACAATATTGAAGAACAGTTTTCTATTTTAATAAACACCGATCAGGCAAAACATTATGACCACCTTCACAATATTGTGTTGGTCCCCCTTTTGCTGCCAAAACAGCCCTGACCCATTGAGGCATGGACTCCACTAGACCCCTGAAGGTGTGCTGTGGTTTTTGGCACCAAGATGTTAGCAGCACATTTTTTTAAGTCCTGTAAGTTGCACTCTTTGCTGTTGGGTGTCAGACCTCCAGGGAGAGCCGGAGCGCTCCGGTGGGCGCTTGACTCCAGGAAGCCAAGAAGGTACATCTGGATTCGTGAGTCTGATAGAGAAAGTAGTTTTAGATTGGAGTTCCTCACTTCCAAATAGAATCCAACTGCTTTTTGGGTTCTACCATGCTTACCAATGACCTTGCGTATGGGGTTGTCCTCAGACTTCGCAGCCACGATTTGGCCTTTCAATGCGTTCTCTCTATCGGAGGAAAATGGGGAAAAGCCATGCTGAGACAAGCATCCTCTGAGCTCCACACACAATTTCTCTGCAACCGCAGCAAAGGTTTCATCCGCTTTAAAGGACCTATTAGGGAAAAGTACAACGGTTTTGTCTGCAGAAGTGTGAGGCATTAGAAACACAGTGTAATTTCATCTTTAAACGTACAGAGTGTGCATCTCCGCTATCAGAATCTTAATGGTTTTCTTCAGTCTTTCCATGAGGCCTGGGAGTCCAGAAATGGCCTCGCCAGCACTGTTATAGACTATGAGCAGGACTGATGCCACCAGTGCCAGTTGCTCCAGCTCCTGTTGCATCTCCTGAAATCTGCCCTGATCCATGAGAAGAGTCTGTTTGATCACAGGAGGGAGAAAAATCGAGGAAAAGGTAAAATAATAGTTTTGGGGTCAATGACAAATTAGACTGTCCACAAAAAAGAAAAATTGCTTAAAACACATGTGCTAGTTATTAGAAATGTACACTTTATATTTGTGTTTTGAAAAAAAAAATAAGGACTCCACTAGACCCCTGAAGGTCTGGGTATCTGGCACCAAGATGTTAGCAGCAGATCCTTTAAATCCTGTAAGTTGCAAGGTGGGGCCTCCATGGATCGGCCTTGTTTGTTCAGCACATCCCACAGATGCTCGATTGCATTGAGATCTGGGGAATTTGGAGGCCAAGTCAACACCTCAAACACATTGTTGTGCTCCTCAAACCATTCCTGAACCATTTTTGCTTTGTGGCAGGGCGCATTATCCTGGTGAAAGAGGCCACAGCCACCAGGGAATACCGTTTCCATGATGAAAGAGGCCACAACCACCAGGGATTACCGTTTCCATGAAAGGGTGTACATGGACTGCAACAATGCTTAGGTAGGTGGTATGTGTCAAAGTAACATCCACATGGATGGCAGGACCCAAGGTTTCCCAGCAGAACGTTGTCCAAAGCATCACACTGCCTCCGCCGGCTTGCCTTCTTCCCATAGTGCATCCTGGTGCCATGTGTTCCCTAGGTAAGCGATGCACACGCACCTGGCCGTCCACGTGATGTAAAAGAAAACGTGATTCATCAGACCAGGCCACCCTCTTCCATTGCTCCGTGGTCCAGTTCTGATGCTCACATGCCCACTGTTGGCGCTTTCGGCGGTGGACAGGGGTCAGCATGGGCACCCTGCCTGGTCTGCGGCTATGCAACCCCATACGCAACAAACTGTGATGCACTGTGTATTCTGACACCTTTCCATCAGAACCAGCATTAACTTCTTGAGCAATTTGAGCTACAGTAGCTCGTCTGTTGGATCGGACCACACGGGGCAGCCTTCGCCCCCCATGTGCATCAATGAGCATTGGCCGCCCTTGACCCTGTCGCCGGTTCACCACTGTTCCTTCCTTGGACCACTTTTGATAGATACTAACCACTGTAGACTGGGAACACCCCACAAGAGCTGCAGTTTTGGAGATGCTCTGACCCAGTCTTCTAGCAATCATAATTTGGCCCTTGTCAAACTCGCTCAAATCCTTACGCTTGCCCATTTTTCCTGCTTCTAACACATCAAATTTGAGGACAAAATGTTCACTTGCTGCCTAATATATCCCACCCACTAACAGGTGCCCTGATGAAGAGATAATCAGTGTTATTCACTTCACCGGTCAGTGGTTATAATGGGCTTGTTTGAGATGGCAAATTCTGCGCAGAACCGATAACCGGTGATCACCGCGAGATGCATGCCGGTTAGAAAAGTGTCCGACTTACCTCCGACTTGCTCTGATGTCATGCTGACGTGTGCAAAAAAACTCTCGGATTGTGCAGTCGAGCGCAGTTGCTCTCCACCGACTGCGCTGATCAAAAGCATGATGGGAAACGACTGACTGGCGACACCGCTTAATGCTCATTGGTTTAGACAACTGTGATGCTGCGTTCTCTTCTAAAATGTTTTTTTTTTTTTTT